CGAATATCAGGTTGGTTGTGGGACTCAAAACGCTGAACGTTTCGTGACACTGAGTTGTAGTGCCACGCACGTCGTGGATGTCTTCATCCTGCTCGCCTTCGGCAATTTCGTCAGGGAGGTGAAGCACACGCCATGTCACAGGGCGTACGCGCGGCACTTTGTTGACTCGAAGCCGCCGGCTCACCAGCAACTTCTTGAAATATTTCTTCATTCGCTCGGTTTGGACTGGATGTTGCACCCAAGGTGTCGCCTTAGTTGAGATTTCTTGAACCAGTTTCGCCACTTATTGAACAAGGTGTGGGACATGCTTCTTCACACGACCGATTGCCTAAACAACAATATATGCAGTGAGGGTTATCATTAACGTGCTTATATACATACACCTTTGAGTTTGCGGTTGAAATGTTCATTGGGGTTGTTGGTGTACGAGCACCCCCTATGGCTGTGAAACACTTGCCACTTCCAAAACCGCGGCCCACGGTTTGTTGAATACACGGCGTGGTACGGCAGCCATGTGTTGAAAAAGTAGGTTCGGAACTTTCGTAGGGTGCGGCTGCCTTCCCAGTTTGCGTGCGCAGTGTCCATGTTGTTGACCAAATCGGCTTCACTTGTGGACATGTGCAACAGGTAAATTTCAAAGGTGACACTTGTCCACTCCTCGCTTGTCATGCCTTGGCGTTTGTCGTAGCACTAGAACAAACCATGATGACAATATTATGACATAGGATTACTTACATTTTTGAGGACGTGAAAAAAACACATAAGGTACTCGAGAAGAGGCAGCTCAGGTTGAAGTGCGTTGGTCATTCCTAGGAATTGTGCCTTGTCTGCATCACCCATAAGTCTTGTCGGCGCCCATGCATAATTCAGAAGACTTGTGAACTTCTCCTGGAGTGACCGCAGTAGCCACGCGACGTCGGCGTGGGTCCGCTGCGACGTGATGCACACGCACAGAAGGTGAAATGAGCCCGCCATGTCGGAGTATCCAAATACGAACATGGGGTAGCC